AAAAATTGTACTATTGTGAATGGTGGACTGACTTGTAAACAGCTGTTTGTTTGTTTACATTTGTTTCTTTAGTGATTCATTTACATCATTTTTAAAATAATTGCTTTTATTATAAAATTTAAAAAATTGATACAGTTGAAATATGGTTTAGTGATGAGGAAGATGATGTGGAAGCTAATAGATTAGTAGAGTTGGCTAAAGCAAGGAGGGAATTCGCGAGCGAGATTCGTCGGATTCCTTGGAGTTGGAAGATGAAGTGTATGTACATATGTATGTGAATTTTATGAATAGAAGTTGCGTTCCACATGCTTCACGGTTTGTAAGTTTTACAGGATTTGCAGGAAAAGCTGTTTTACTCATTAATAAACTTTATGGAGGTTTAAGAAATACGGTACGGTTTAGTTATTTGTACAATGATGTTGGGTTTTTGTGTCCAAACGCCTGACCCGAGTTTAAAAACTTTAACATACAAGTGTAGTGAAAGAATTCAACTTTAATTTAAAATAAAGATTTAAATTTTCCGAGCACTAGGTAATTAATAAATTGTGCAGTTTTTTGTAAACTTTGATGTTGGTTCTGCGCAAAAACATTGTGGATGGCGTAGCCGGAAAGAAATACTGTATTGTATATCTTTCACAATAGCAGCGGAGCTTCCGCCAATACTCTTTCCGAAAATTCCTTTGCCTATGTCCTCATTCTCCTGCATCAGGTCGACCAACCGCGCAAGTTGCCTTTTGTTGCTTACAATTTTTGATTTGTAAAGACTGGTTTTCACTATGTCATATTTTGACGCCAAAATTTGGCGACATATTTTGACACAACTTTTTCTATACCTTTGCCAATGATATTACGGCCCAAAAACTGGCAGATAGCCGATTTAGCAGCGCAGGTACACGACTACAGATCTTTCCTGATCAAAATCAAGCGATAAACCGCTTTTTAATCCCATTTGACAATGTCTTTTCACTTATTTGACGACAAATGCCACTGAATTTTTGACATAGTGAAAACCAGCCTTAATTCAGACACATACATACATACATATGTATATTTCACAATTTTTAATTTTAGTACCACTTTCTTATGTAAATTTTAAAAACGCAAACTCCAACGACTAAAAAACAGCAATAGAAGGATGAGCGATTAAAAAGTGTTCACAATGACATCGATAATCGATTAATAGTCGTTTATCTACTGCCAGTCGACATTCGCAATGGAGGTGTAATTTTTTTGCCAAAAATTGGATTTGCTCACAAAAGCTCTTGACTCAAGCCCTATCCATTCGTCCTGAAATATACTATCCAGAAATGCGATTGCCTTACTTTACGTGGTTTTGTGCCTTAAACGACGATATACAGGGCAGCGTTGCCACATTTTATTTTCAAAGAAACTGTGAATTTTCAAGCAAAAAACTGTATTTTCAACAAAAAAGCTGGAACCTTGAAAAAAGAAGGAATTTTTGGAATGTTAAGGTTTTTAACCGTTTGATTGGAATTCAGTTGATCCTTATTTATTCAAAAGAGTAAACGCTGCACCTCCATCGCCACTTTTTCACTTAAAAATTTACTTCCAATAAAAACAAAAGATTTAATTTAGATTTAAAATCAAAAGATTTAATTTATTCATTCAGATCTGAGCTAGGAGATAATTAAAAAAAAAAGAACTGTAAACTTGTCTAGGAAACTGTGGTTCACAGTTGAACCTGTGAATATGGCCACATTGATACAGGGTGTCTTAGACCACCCTCCACCTCCTCGAAAATGGAGGGAAATATCTTTTATTAAACTCAAACACAACATATGACATATGTACCAAATCGGGTAGGTTCTATCTTTTGGTGAATTTAACGACTTCCGGTTCAGTGCTCGAACAGTGGAATGAATTTGACACAACAGTAACTCATTATTTTTTGCAAATGCAAAAAGAATGTGAAATGATCGAAAGAGAAAAGTTTCCTTATTACAGGTCCGTTCTGCGCTAGTAATAAAACTTTTGTGAAAGTTAAATAAAGTTCCCGCCTATTTTTAAACCTTATAAGCTGGTAACATGATATTAGCCCGTGAAATATGCAATAACAGGATTTCTACAACCCTGCAAAAATCGTTGGACCATGTAGTCTATTTGTGGTATATTGGAGTACTTACAAAAGTGCTCCTCTGTCATGCTGTAGCGGACCAACTCGTGTCTCTGCACCAGCTTATTGTTACCCGATCACTGCTCGTGTTTTAACGACATGTGATTGAAGTTAAGCATTTGAAAGTACATTTGCATGTCTGGCTGTAGCTGAACGTGTAGAGATGCTAGCTGTTAGTTCTTAGCTCCCAGCATGTTCGGGTTCGAATGTCGTCAGAGGCAACATGTAATTTTTAATTTTTGTTTCTGGTTTTTATTAATTTCAAAAAAAGCATCTGCGAAGTGAAGAACAAAAGCGTGTACAAACGAAAAAATATAACGATAATGTCATTGGAGTATGTTGGGAGTAGTTTTGTGCTGCTCTGATGTAATGCAGAGATGGAGTACATGGTCCTGCCCTAGGACATCGCAATGTTAATTGGACCATATTTTTTATATGAATTGTGGTTAATTTTGGAGTACTCCTTGGACCTTCGGGAGTACTCTTTACATGCATGCATGGAGCAGTCGCGATTTTTGCAGGGAAATATCCATAGCTGAATTGCCGAATAAATTGCCAGTGTTACCAATGTACCTAGCGAATTGCGATTACAAGAACTGGTAAAAAATGTTGGCAATAAAATTGTCCGGTTACCTAATTTTCAGCAACATGCAAAATAGACAGACCTGTTAGACGCCAATTTTGTAGTATAAAAAATATTTGACCAAAAAACGAATAACTGCTCGAATGTTTAGTGGGACATAGTATTTATTAAAAACGAACACCTGGGGTCAAAACGAATTGCGATATATTCAAATCAAAGTACATGCCATACACTAGGGTTGTATATTTTTTCGGGAAGTTGTCAATATTTAACTTCATTACATACTAGGTGACTTAAATGCACATAATATTATGTATGTATGTATATTAAATTGCCGAGTACAAACGAGAGGTTGAGTGAGTTGTTTGTTTATGGATTGCTTTCTTATTAGTGTTTAAAAATGTTGCAAGTTAGTCTCGTTAGACACCGCAACATCTTGGCGTCTTTTAATACTCGATATGAAGAGAAGAGTTTATTGTTGAATGTGAGTGCGCAGTGCTAGTATGTTCTTGTAGTGATTGATTAATAAATTATTGCAAGCTAAAACTAAATAAATATTTATCATATTCGAATTATGTATGTATAATTTACTGCCTTTTATTAACTATAAAATACTCCTAACGTTTCCAAAATTACTCTTATGTATATGTATACTTACGTACGTACAGTTGTGGTCATCTGATGTAAGTTGCATATTGACTAGTTTTGGTTATTTTTCTTTTATTTATTTTATTTTTATTTTCTTACACAAGTCTGGCACATTAGATTACAAGCACCATATATGTATGTAAATACACATTTCAAAGCTTTGTACAAAAATAATAAAACTGTAACAAACAATTTCCCCCTAAAATGTGAAACTTTTTTATTCAGAGTTTTTTAACAAAATTTTTGTATGCCGTTTTATGGGCCATCAAATTTTAGTAGCATAAAGACGCTACAAAATCGCATTGAACTTTAATGGTTTAGCTGACGGTGATGGGAAGAAATTCCATATAAAGTATGAACGACAATTTCATTTATTGAGAAGAAAATACCTAGTACCTGGAAACTTGCACTTTACTTATGAAACTGTACACCTATTTTTTTTTTTTTTTTTTTTAATTCATTATAAAACGTTTGAAATTTTTGGGTGGCAATTAATAAAAGTTTGTTCAATTTGTATAATTTTTGTACAATGTTTGAAATGTGGATTTATATGGCGCTTTGTTATGTAATGTGCTAGAATTTTACAAAAAAAAAAAATTAAATTAACAAAAGAAAAATGAACAAAAGTAGTCAAAATGTCACATAACTTTATCAGCTGACCACAGGGTCATGTATGTATGTATATATAGAATGTATGTACATAAACATCTATCTGTAGCAAAAAGCCGTAATCGCTTACGTCTGGAATCTGTCTTTACAATAATGCACTTTTCGCTTTTTCATTTAAGGATTTTTATGAGGATTGATTAGCATATTGGGAAATTTTTTCTGATATCAAATTTAGCATTTTTACATTTATTTTGTGGTATTATGGAAATCGTTAGTGAGACAAGCGAACGGAGCGAACGTTGCGTGTTTTTGCTTTATCCATACTTATGTATGTATGCAAATTTTAGTTAAACGTAAATTTTATAAAATTTGTACGTCATTTAAGCAGTGTGTGTTTGTGCGTCATTTAAGCCGCTACTTTTTGTATTTATAAATGTATATAATGTATATTGTAATCTGTACTTTCCGGTTACTTAGATTCACATACTTTTTTATACAAAGTTACAATATCAGTATGTATTTGTCAAGTCAACACTTACATATATACCTATACGAGAAGCTATGTATGTAGAAAAACAGACGATGAGCAAAACTAACCGCATGCGTTTTTCGTTCTTTTCTTTTCTATTTTTCTTCTTTTTGCAAATCATACACAAACTGAAACAATAAATCATCGAACATACAACGACAACAAACAAACACATGCGCAAACAAACACCCAAACAATATCTATTCACCACGAACAATGAACAATGAACAATGAACGCGCTTCGTGTCGCGCGACACCTGCCGCCCCGAATATTGCATTCACGTCTAATAACACACAAACATGCGTACTGTACTTTATACTCATGCTCACACACGCACGCACGCACACAAATTCACAAACTGTTTGGTTGTTGTATTCGATTGTTATTCGATGCTGGTCTCAAACGCGGACATCCACAACAACGAACTCAATACACGAAACACACTCGGACTGACTGTGCATCGCTTTCTCTGAATCTGCGCGCCCCCACAAACCAGCAACGGTAGCTGCTGCCGCCGCCATGCGTGGCGTCGCCATCCAACGCAGTCATATGGGAGTTGTAGGGGCGCCATTCAACCCAGCTTTGGCCGCCGTCGCTGTGGCCGCCCAGCAACAACAGCATCACCATCACCATCATCACCAGGCACACCACCATTCGCACCACGCCGCGCAACAAGCGGCGCACCACCAATTGGGAATGCAGCAGGCGCTGCACATGCAGTCCGCAAACGCCACAAATCAGGCCCATGCCGCTGCCGCCGCCGCGATACAGAATAGCGCCGCCGCCCAGCAGCAACTGCAATCGCTGGCCCAATCAGCTGCAGCCGCTGCAGCCAACACTCCGCAGGCGGCCAACGCTGCAGCAGCTGCATACGCAGCTCGCTTGGGCGCCACAGGCGCGGCCGCACAGACGCCATCCGCTGCTGCTGCTGCATCCATTGCCGCCGCAGCAAATGCAGCCGGTAACGCCTTGCACGGATTCACACCGTAAGTACAATAATAAAGAGCGATTTATCTAACTTGTTTGTATGCGTATACTCTATTATTATATTTTTGTACGTATGTATGTATGTTTGCTTAGCCATAACATAAGTTTGAGTAAAGCAACTCTTTTTTTAATTCAAAACCACTTATTTATCAGCAATATTTTGCTTATGAATCCGTTTAGGAAGTTCTTGTATGAGCAGTAGCTTTACTTACTTAGTTATTTACATATTTCTTCTTAGATAGCCGTGACTAAAAACATACATATTACATATTGTTATTGTCTCTAAAACAAAGCTTTTTTCATATTGCATATATAAAGCCAAAGTTTAGCTATTTATGTATGTATGTGCGCGTATACGCACCTTTACGTTTATGAATGTGCGCATTTATGTTATTTATTTTGTAGCATACATGCAAGTACATACATACATACATGTCTACATATGTACGCGAGAATGTAGATACAGAATGTGTTTGATTATGCACCAGATCCTACTCCAGCATGACTTTATATTTACTTACCTACCTACATACATACATATGTATATCCTGCTTTCCCAACCTCCTTGTGTGTTTACATGCATATATGTATTCGTATGCTCAAACTTATGTACATATGTATGTATATCGATTTTCGCCACATTAAAGTACTGCATTTTTTAACACTTAATTAATTGAATTCTTTGAATGAGGTGTGAGTGTCTCGAAGCAAAGTTTGTATTTTTGATTATGGCTATATTTTATCTAACAGTAAATATCCATTTAAAAACCGTACACAAATAAACAGTTGAGCAAGTTATGTTTATTCTAATCATTTTGTGAATGCCCTAAATATGTATATATATGTAGGAACGCACGTATTGAATGAAGTTCGAGCTGGCCGCCTGCGTGTGTGTCGATCGGCAAAAGCCAGTTCTTAGTGAATAGCTATAGAAGATTCAAGATTGATGCTTCTTTGTGGGCTAAGATAGATGTATAATTCGAATGCAGCTCTATTTTCAAATGCATATGCAAGTTTTAATATTTTTTTTTTAGCTGCACGGTGTTTAGTTGTTTTTGTACTTCTTGTAAGCATTTATTTAGCTGATCGCCCGATTTATCGCATTGGCGAATTCCAACATTTTTTCTCGAATATTTTTTATCTGCTTGGAGCTCATTCATGAAAATCATTTCAAATATTAAACCTGCTAATACTTTATTCAATTTAAAAGTGATTGAGGTGAAAGGTCAGGGAAGTTTTAAGGTTTTTTTTTTTTGTTTTTTGTTTTAGAGAAGCGAACTGCTTTCATAAGAAATTTGTTTTTTTCCTAGATTTAGGGTCAGGATTAGGGAAATTAAATATAGCGTAGCCCTGAAATCGGTCTAAATGAAATTGATGTTTAATATTTTTGCATAATGGAGGTGCTAAATAAATACATATATCCATCATACATATGTACATATGTACATATAATGTACTCCTTCTGAGTATTGTTTTTATTAAGCTCATTTAATAGCGAAACAGTGAGCCTAAGTACATATGTACCGTTAATATGAATCGTGCGCTATACGTACAACTGCGAACTGCGAGGTTCTCCATGGATTGAACGCATTCGATAAGCCTTCTTGGAATAATAAAATAAAATAAGTCAAACAAGGCAGGGGATGTTTGAATTTTGCTTTTAAGTACCCCACTCTCATTATCGAATTTAGTGATCTATGACATCTGACTTTTGAAATCTAACATAATATCTTTTATATATCTCCTACAGCGTTTACTATGATCCCTTCTTAGCAGCCGCTGCAGCTTCCGCCGATCCAAATTTGCGATTCCAGGTAAATTTGCAAAAATGCAACAAAAACAAAAAAAATCAACACTTACTATTAACTGATATTGGTACAATCATCTTTAAATGAAATTTTATAAATTATACGTATAATTAGCGTTAAGTCTTACTTAGATATAAAATTACGGATTAATTATTAATTAGTGGTGTCTTATCTAAAGTGTGAGTTTTGAAAATTTACATATCGTAATACAAATTTTACAGGCAGCCAAACCGGTCTCGGAAGTTCCAGCCGCACAGCCAGCAGCCATTCTAAATGTAATTTCCCAATTATTGATACCCCTAGTACCCGTAACTCTTTATGTGTCAGCGTTATTCTCACTTTTCATAAAATCCACTTTAGTTTACGATTTCATTTTGGGGTTTTGCGCCAATTCTGCAATTTTCAATTTTCTAATAAATTTTATTTTTTTTTCGTATTTGTATTTGTATGTACCTGATTTTCATTAGTTTTGGTCTGAATTACTAATCATACAATTTTCATAAGTCATCGTACGTACATATGTATTTAGGTACATATGTGCATTTTATACATAATATGTACATACGGAACTACATATCGCACGTTTAATAATATGTATATAGAATGCGTATTCATGGAAACGCGTAAATGCCTCGTAGCCTCGTAGCCTCGTAGCCGCGAAAACCTCGTCAATAAACCGTTTTTCCATACAAAATTAAAAAAGTTTACGAGGTTTACATGGTTGCCGAGGCATTTACGCGTTTAGATGAATTGCCAGAAAACCGATGGAAATAGACATATCTATGTATGTACATACACATCTTCGGTTTTTTGGGAAGTTTAGTTATCTGATTGACTTAACATATTCTTCTTATCAAGCTTATTAATTGTATGATAAAAAGTACAAAAATGTAAATTTTGAATTAACTCGCTATATACATAACACTGGTTTACAGCAAAAATGCACACTGGGTGCTGTAGGGTATAAATACCTTCTTCTTTTATACGTGTACAATTTTTATTTGTTTGTTCAATTGTTCTTAGATTTTATTAGAATTTCTAAATCAAGGCGAATTTATATAAGGTGGTGTTACTAGCTCAGCTGATTTTGTATATGTGTTTCGCCGCACGGCTTCTGATATCAAATTGAAAAATTTTGTTTGAATTCCTACGCACACTCTTACAGATTTTGACAGTTTATGCCGCCAAAGCAAAAACAAAATACATGTAAATTTTTGTTTTTGTAGTCCTGCTATCACCTTACATTAATTCGCCTTGTTCTAAATGAAACGTTTTTAAAATCATTAATTTAAAAGGCTTCAAACTACATACATAAAATTTTCTAATGAGCAATAAATAATTCAAAATTTTAAATAAGAAAATATCATCATGATATATTGGCGATCCTGCATTATATGTATGTAACTTGGACTACCAAAAAATGACGAAGATCAAATGTCTATCAACGAAAAGCGCCACATCAAAGGAGAAACAAATCTCTTTCGAAATGTTTCAGCGGCTAGCTCGATGTGCATCCGCTGTTGTCCTTTCCGCTGCAATAGTGTGAAAATGTTTGCCAGTCCAACTGCCACAACTGTAAGCAACATCAATCTATACAAACGCAATTCTTATGTCCTTCAATATATGTACATCAACAAAGGCAAGCCTCGGCAACAAGTCACTTGTCCAGTTAATCAATCGCTCCACATGGACAATTTTGCAACCTTAATTTCAACAACCTGCCACATCACATCTTCCTGAATCCGCGCCACCACAACCACAATTTTAGTAAGCAACCTAGGATTGGCGCCCTGCTCATTTACCGGCACTGCTACCGCAACAGCAGCCGTCAAGCCTCAACGTCTATGACCACAGCCAACAGTTCAACACCACAGATGTTAGTCACTGTTGTGCCGCTTAACACTGTATGGGTTCTAGGCTCTTAATCAACAATAACAATTGAATACATTACAAATGCAGCAACATTTACAGCATCAACAAGAAGGTCAACAGCTGATGCAGCAACATCATGTCGCAGCAATAACAACAACATTCTAGCGCATTTAATTATTTTTGTCGTCGTTATTACTAACATTTATTGAAATTTTTAGCAAATTATCTCTGTATTCATGTATGTGTATATACATACAGATGCGTGCAACTAATTAGCAACGAAATTCAAAACGATATTGCTTGCAAATTATGTTTATTTATTTATTTTTAATAATTTTCATTTAAAATATAATTCAATCTATATCAGAAACCACAATAACAAAAGTTGCAAAGCTTGCACAAATTGCAAAAAAATTANATCAAAATTTCAAAATTTTTAATTAGAATATTTAGAAAATTTTCGGGTATGCAGTTTTGTAGCCCATTCAATTTTAGTATAATAAAGTTCAAGTTTCAAGTCGCTAAAAATTACCGTTGATTTTTTAGAATTTCTTTTGTGGAGGGTGTTGCGAATTTTTTTCCATGTAAAAAAATATTTTGATCATGTGTTATATGGAAGAAATTTTTTGAAGTTTGATTAATTTTTTTGCAATTTGTGCAAGCTTTCAACGTTTGTTATTGTGGTTTCTGAAATATATTTTAAATGAAAATTATTAAAAATAAATAAATAAACATAATTTGCAAGCAATATCGTTTTGAATTTCGTTGCTAATTAGTTGCACGCATCTGTATATGTATATGCATACAATTTTTTTTTTTATTATTTATATTTATTTTATACTCTGCTTCTAATATTAGTTAACTCGTCGTTTTATTGGAGGGGGAGTAAATGTAGGGTTTAAATACCTTCTTCTTTTATACCTGTACAATTTTTATTTGTTGTTTAATTGTTCTTAGATTTTATTAGAATTTCTAAATGAAAAGTTTTTAAAATCAGTAATATAAAAATCTTCAAACTACAAACATAAAATTTTGTATTGAGCATTAAATAACTAAAAATTTTAAATAATAAAATATCATCACGATATAGATGCCACTGTTCAATTCCTATGTAGAATTGCTCGCTCCGTGGATAAGTGTTCGAGATTCAATTTACCGTTATTCAGATTTAAAAAAAGAAAGTAGTTCCACTTAATTATGTACGAACCAATTCAACTATCTTAATTGACAAACGAAATCTATCAAACTTCTCCATAAACCGCGTATACATCACTTTACGATAGGTATGATAGTTTCTGAAAAATTAATTAATCATTCCAGATTTTTTATTTTTTGCTAAAAAAAATTAAAAAAAAATCTCAAACTTTATCTAACAGGGAAAATATTTAAAAAAGCGTGGTAAAATAACAGATTTGTGTCAATTTATTTCATTTGTGTTAAAGTCTGTTCTGGATAAATAAAAAATGAGTGGTCAAATTGAAATACGCAAGGATTTTTTATGAAATATGAGGAGAAAGGTGTATTACTCATATGTACATGGCGTATGAGTAACATTTCCTGCTTATATTTCATACAAAAAAATTAATTGCACTTTTTTCCATATAAGTATGAATTTCTAATGAAATAAAATGCGGGAGACCGTTCGCAACAAATTTAAAAAAATAAACGCCCGTTTTTGTAAGTAGCACTTGCTGTATAAAAAAAACGCAAAAGCAGTCTATCCTCTTTCGATTAGGGGGATTTGGGTGTCGATGACCCTCCCGCTCCCCTCACACCCCAAAATCGTTGCACAAATAAGTAAACATTTCCCCGGTATTCTTATATAGTAGAAAAATAATAAAAAAAATTTAGCTCGAACATCATTACGAATACTTAAAAAAACTCAACACGTGGTCCCTTGTTTGAATCACTGTATATGGCACATTTTATAATATACATAATTATTTCAAAATTTCAATCAAAGTTCAATCAATTCATACAGTTGGTATACCACAAGTAATTTTTAGCAAAAAAAAACCGACTTCCACTGATCGGATTTAACCATATTAGTATGGGATCACCTCTGAGACACTACCTTCCCGATGCAAAAAGAATTATCGAAATCGGTTGACGTGGTCCAAAGTTATGCGGTAACATACATAAAAATAATAATAAAAATAAATTAAAAAAAAATAAAAAATTAATAAAAAAATATTCCGACGAACTGATAACCTCCTCCTTTTTTGGAAGTCGGTTAAAAAGTCAGATGCAAATACACATATCTTCGCAAATTTTTGGGATCTTTACTCATCTGTTAGGCTGAGAATATTCTTATTGAGCTTACTAATTGTATGATGAATCCCCAAAAATGTCAATTTTGAATTACATCTCTATATTAATAAACGTGCGATATGTATGTCATTAGGTCCACCTAACGAATAACGGCAAATTGAAAATATCTCGAAACCTCATCCATAGAAAAACAATCAACGCGATTTTCGGAGTCAACGACAGGGCTGCCAACTTGGCTCAAACCGTGCCCTATTTTAAACCAAATGGCACTTAATTTTTCACAAATTGGCACAAAGTTCCCAAATGGCACTTTTGGAAAATAGGAATATTTCAATACATTTTCTTTTTCTCAACTAAAATTTCCTAATTTCTAAAGATTATTCAACTGGCCTATCTTATTTGGCATTGGACTTTTGTTTTAGAAATGTGGTTCTTATTTGATTGCTAAGTGGGGAGGATTAAAAAGGATGGCACCATTGGCATTTTTCTATTAGGCACATTTTGGCATTTTTTTTATCCACAATATGGCACCTCATAGCTAAAGATAGTTGGCAGCACTGGTCAACGAGCGATTCTACATAGGAATTGGATAAGGGGCATGTGGTGAACAAAAAACACAAATTTGTGATCCAGTGTAATTAAACGTCCGATATGTACATACGTACATATGTATACATAATTCGTTCTTTATAAAATTGTACTATAAAACGAATCGCATTATTTCATTTATGTATGTAAAGACACATAAAAACACATATACACATAAATACATACTAAATAGGGCTGAGACAACTGGGATATTCTAAACAGTATTTGTGTGGATTCATAAAATTTAATCTATCTAATTTAATAGAACACTTCATTAATACACAAACAATTGTTATTTTATTGCTAATTTTTAGATTCGAGTATCCGAATATTTATACACTATTCAGATATCCGGATATTCGGATTTTTTATTCAAAAATTCGAATTAGTCAAAAAATCCGGATAACACTCCCAGCCCTACAACATACATATGTACATACATATATACATACACATATTGAATTAGTTTTGTATAAGTCATCAATTTTTTACCGGTCAGATTTGTGGTTGCTTACAAATCACCAAAACATATTCTTAACCGTTATACAAATTTTTACGTTACTCATTTTGACACCATGTGAACTCCGTTATAGTGGTTTTTTATGACAAATTCGACAATTTTGAAATCAAAAAATATTTAGGGAGTGCTCACAGCACTCAAAATCGTCCAGGTATTTTATATGGGGGAAAACAACTTTTCGTAGAAATGGTACAAAATTCTTGAAAACCAATATTTTTCGATCGGAAAACTGTGGTTCTCTTCAGGTGACTTCAAACATTAATATCCAGTTGTTTATTTAAACATTTCTTAATATTAAAGATTTTTTATTGGTCCCCCCATTGCATTTTTTTAAAGTTACCATGAGTAAATGGTTAAAGAAACAATTCGGTATTATTACTGAGAATTTCCTGAAGATAAGCAAAGTTTTCCGATTGAAAAATACTTATTTTCAAGAATTCTACACTATTTCTACGAAAAGTTTTTATTTCCCCATATAAAATACATGGAAAACTTTGAGCGCTTTAAGCACTCCCTAATTTTTTTTTTACTTCAAAATAAAAAATAATAGACCAAGATTATCCCGTACTGTAAGCGGGTTAAAATAATTGCGTGTAGTAACTCGTCGCTGAATTGCTTCCTACTAAAGTATATTTACATGTAAATAACTCGAATTGTATGTTTAAATTTTTTTTCGGTAATTGGACACCATTTGCAAAATGACCTGCTTCTGATCTTCCACTGAACTTAGCCGCTGTATCATTCACAACTTTAATGTTTCCCACCATGTATTTCGCCCCTTTATATTGCTCATGGGAGACTAGACAGTCGAATACAGTTGAAGTTAAAAAAGTTTATCTCAAACTGGGTAAAAATGCATATTTTCGTTTCTGCACAAATAAATTGATGCAATTCTTTTTGTTAACAATTTTCGACAGTAGTTAATTCTTTTAGATGGAGACATCTCTTCTTCCGTTTCATCGACATTATTTTTATTGGCTGATCTTTTCCTTTAGTTCGAGAGTAATGCCACCATCAAAAAAAGAACATGCCAGTGATTCAGGTCTTACATCACATAAATAGTCCAAGAGCCCACCATCAAAAGTCTTAGGATTACGTCCATATTTTTAGGTTTTTAGTTATTTACATGCAAACATAATTAAATAAAATTTTTTACCAAAGGTCCTATTTTGAACTTCGAAGGCCCATATCTCGATTTCGGAGGCCAATTTTGAAAAACGGATAAATCACCCAGAAAAAAAAGTTGATTTTGCCGTACAGTGTTATTGGTTTATCCTTGAATTCCATGACTGTAGCTTTTTTTTAGTGATAGCATAAGAATTTATGAAATGGAAAGTTTCGTGCCAAGCATTATGAATATTCGTAGACCTGGCCCTGGTTGGCTTTCTAGTATAGAAATGTTTAAACTTTAATTTGGTATAAGATTTGAATTGTTTCTCGATGGATATAAAAATGCATCAAAAAATAAAATAAAAAATTGCATGGGCCAAAGCATCAGAACAGGATTTCATACGGTACTAAATAGTATACATTCATTTTCTACTCACTATTATAAATTTTAAGCATAAAAACCGACTCTGTCCAGGCAATAAATGATAAATGAGTACTAATGCTGGATTTCCACTAGGCATTAAATTTCAAAAATGACAAATGACAAAGTTGGGCATTAAAAAAAATGCGTGTCATTACGTTAAAAAAATTGTCGTTATGTTCATTTCCACATGGCATTTTTTTAAATGGCATATATTTTTTGTCAATTCAATGCCTAGTGGAATATCGGCATTACAGTTGAAAAACATTTTACACTGTTGGTCGATCGTAGTGAATTTTGACGGTGGGCCCTCAGTCTAAAAGTATTAAGGAATTTTCATCAACAAGTTATTAAATACTAAATTATTTAAAACGTACCCTTATGCATCTGCCATTGCGGAGTTAAGGGCCACTGCTTCTCAATAACTAGGTTTGCCGACTACCTCGACTTTGTGTAACATATTTTATCAATAAATCACTTTCGCTCCTATCGGCAAGTTTTGCTTTCTCGCCGAAAAAACATATGTTTGTGTTAGCCCCGTTTTAACGCAACATTTACGAGCAAACTGACTTACTAGTATGTAACTTAATTGATTTGATTTGATGTAATTGGATAATTTTAGATCAAAAGTAAAACTAATAAGTCAGTGAAAAATTCAGGTCTGGTCATATTTTTAACCGACTTCAAAAAAAAAGGAGAAGGTTATCAATTTATCGGATTTTTTTTTTTTATGTATGTTACCGCATAACTCTGGACCACGTCAACCGATAACTTCTATCGGTAAGGTGCTGCTTCAAGGGTAGTCCCACAATAATTTGGTTTAGATCCGATCATGTGGTCATGAAGAAATTAACGGTACAATGCAATTTTTATATGAGAATGAAGTGGGTTTTGTTTTTTGCTTAAAAATTACTTGGTTTCCGTCCGGTCCCAGCAACATCAAAACACATATGTATGATATACGGTTAATCCCCAAGTCAACTAGTATAAAATTTTAAAATTATTTTCCTTAAACTGGAAAAGCCTTGAAAATTTCGAAAAACTCGAAACCTTTATTGAGAGGTTAGTATTTGATTGACATGAAAAAAACCGGTTTGTTCGAAAAAAATCCGGTTTATTCGATATTCGAAAAATCAAAATTTCTATTACCCTAATATGCAGTCAAACATCGTTTCTACTTTCAAAAAGCGTGAAAATGCTTAATACATCCATTGGAGCCAACAAAACTAAAGAGAAGGCCACCATTTTTTATATGTATATTTTTCCAAAACATTTGAGGCCTTCAGAATCCCGTTATTTTTAGCGGTGTGCATCATGCATGATTAATTTTTCCTTGTGGGGATATTAGAGCAATTGTTTCGCTTTTTTTAATCCCCTTTTACGTCGATAAGAAGCTGACCTCGCAGTGGACCTTGTGTTTGGTTTTCACTTCTAAATGCGCGTAAAAATGCTAATAGAAATCCGGCGTTATTTCTATTCTTAATAAGTCAATTCTTAATAAATACTACATTAAGTTAATCAGATATGGCTATGTCCAGTTTCTCGAGTGTCCATAATGTCGAGCCGTTTCTGTATGTACATACAGTACTATGTAGATATGTAACCACTCATAATATACATATGTACTTTACTTGTATTCGCAAGGACATACATACATACATACATAAATAAATACACTACATGCATACAGATTGTATAAGAGAGAGCATAATTGTATCTTTCTTCAAACGCTTTTTTTGTTGGCCAACTCAAATGCATTCCACTTATTGGATAACTATTCTAAATTATGATTTTTGTATTGAGATTTTGAAACTAATAACCTCATTTTAATTTCGAAAATTCCGGCGTTGATACAGTGGTTATACGCATTATAGAACTTTAATATTTTATGCTAATAATTGTGCATTGTTTTATTATTTATTGCTTTGTATATTTAATATTGATTTTACTTGTACTTTTAAATAAATATCTGCTAGCATAGACTAAATACTTTTCACCTAATTGTTGTGATGTTCCATATTATTTATGTACATATGTAATACACTCGTATCTTAAACTGAGTAACCATAATATACAACAAAAACAATCTCTATCATATAATCTACTTGAAAACTTACAGCGCCGCACTGTGACAACGCTAAACAGTTCCCCACATACGATCAACCGCATTCCGGTTCCACAAAACGTTTTGGTAAACGAAATATTCAAAATTTTTTCAAAACGCTACAACTGGCATATTGTTTTTTTTTTTATTATTAATTATCAAATTGGGTTCGAAATTTCTTAATGTGTTGAATGAAGTTTTCTTGTTTGCATCTAATTTTAAAAGCCCCGTTATTATTTTTAGCAACGATTTTTGTTGAATTTATAAATAAATATATGCCTTGATATGTGGTCAACTCAATTGAGTTGGTGGCATTTTTACCAGTTTTTGGCAATTTTTCTTTTGTTTTTTTTTTTTTATTTATGAATCTTTTATAAAGTCTAGCTCATTGTATAACAAAAAGTATATATGTAAATTCACATTACAAACTTTGAACAGAAACTATTAAAATTAAAAAAATTTTTACCAAAATTTTAAATTTTTTCCAGAATGTTTGGTAAATTTTTAGGTACATATGTATGTAAATATTTAGTTGTACATATATCCTATTTAGTTATAGAACATACAAAAAAGGGCATGTTGCGTACCTAATTTTTTTTTTTTAAGTTTGAAATTTTGTTAAAAATGTTTTGAATTTTTATACACCAGCACTGGCATGATGAGTGAGTTTGCGAGTGATTTTTGTAAGACGAGAAAGGACTTCACTTCTCAATTGCCTACTCAGCCCAAAGTAGCAGTTGTTGGCAAGAGTGATTCTCCGTTGGATATCAAGGCTGACATTATAATTGGTGTTAATGCTGGCTTCCAAATAAACGAAGTCGTCTACTTTTTCAAACTTGTAACTGTCTAGACTCTAGAGTGACGTGGGTGACAATACGCTTATGCTCTGACGGTTTGTGTGACGTTTTGCCCTCTTCGCCACCAAATCGCTTTGTTTATCTATATAATCCCGAGAAGGTAGAACATACATTGCCCTTGTTTTTACTGATGTTGTCGATGTCATCGGCATACCCCAGCAATTGTACGTTTATGTAAAGAATTGTGCGCGAAAGATTCAGTCGTTTGGCTGTTAATATCTCCTCGAAGCATCATATTAAAGAAATCACATGAAAGGGAGTCGCCCTGTCTGGAATTCCGTTTGGTAGAAAACGGCTCGGAGAGGTCTTTTCCAATTCTGACGGAGCTGGTGGTATTGCTCAACGTCATTTTAGGCAGACGTATTAGTTTCTCGGGGAAACTAAATCGAGACATCTTCTTTTCGTTAAAGTGGCATTCATGTCAACAAATAGATGGTATCCTGTATTTGATTGACCCAAAGCCACTCAGTTCGTTGACGTTGGTGTTCAGTCTTTAACACAATACACTCGGTAAGATCTTGTAACCCATGCTTGGAAGGCTGATCCCGCGATAGTTGGTGGATTACACGGAACACACTTGAATTCCAGTCGCCGGCTATGCGTTCATTTGACCATATTCTGCATTAGGGTTGATGCATGCAACTCCTCGCCACTTTGATTGAATAGCTCGGCTGGTATTAAGGATGTCCGTTCTAACAGCTTTATTGTTTTTCAGCCGCGTAGTTGCTATTCGTACACCCCGCGACAAAAGAAGATTTTTACCAGTTTTAACTACTTTTCTTTAGCTTTTTTTGAAGTTTAACAATTTTTATATAAAAGTATAGCTCTTTATGCAACAAATGCCATATATGTAAATCTAAATTTCGGACTCGCTGGATATAGATCAAATTTTTGAATAAACCAATCCGTAGGATTTGTCTTCAATTAATGCAAATTTTTTTTTCTTTATGATTATACGTATTATCTAACCAGAAAACTACTGTTATATCTGTTTTCGTTTTAATTCCCGTTTACTATGTTCCATCCACAAGTTATAATTTCGGATCTGATTTTTGAGTTTTGCCTCTTTTGAAGATAGTGTGGGCTATAAATAAACAAAAGAAAAATGGCCAATACTGGTCAAAATGCCACTAACTTAATAAGTTGACCAAAAGTATATATATGGACTCATTTGAATGTATGTATGTACATACATTAAGTGGTCCTAAACAAGTAAAGTCGGAATTTTAATGCTCTCACCCCCTAGGTTTGTTCTATATCGAAAAAATATACCCTTAATTTTTTATTTTGAAATCAAAAAATATTCAGAGGGGTCGCTCAAAGAGCTGAAAGTTTTCCATGTATTTTATATGGGAAAAAACAATTTCCTAGAAATGGTTTCGAATTCTTGAAAATCGATATTTTTCGTGCGGAAAACTGCTTGTCTTCAGGACACTTCCAATAACAATACCCACTTGTTTATTTGACCAATTTTTAATACTAAGTAATTTTTTATTCATCCCCCCATTGTATTTTCTGACATTTTCTGGAGGCTTTGGCGGACCTATAAAATATAGTCACTAGAAAAAATTTGTTAAATAAATAATTGCGTATTATTATTGGGAATATCCTGAAGAGAAACAAAGTTTTCCGATCGAATTATATTGCTTTTCAAGAATTCCATTCCATTTCTACAGAAAGTGTTTTTCCCCCCATATAAAATACATGGGGAACTATGAGCGTTTTGAGCGACCTCTAAATATTTTTTGATTGCAAAACAAAAAAGAGGGGTATTTTCGTTCGGTATATTCTAGCATAAAAATTCCGACTTCTCTTATTCACGTGCATTTTTGGACCACCCTAATGTGTACACATACATATGTATGTGACTGTTCATTATTTACTTATATTTTAGTACTAGTTATTGCCGGCATGTCTTCGTTATGTTTACATAAAATCTTTCTAACTCATGTACATATACATATGTACATACATACATACATATATGTATGTTTGTATGTACGTATAAATATATATTATTTGTTACCAAGAATGATAGAATGCAAGATTGCGCCGATCAGAGAGGATTTTTGAGAATAACTTTTGTGTGACGTCACACTGGTGCAATTGCGAGAGAGAAATGCCAAAACGTGAGCAAGAATGGAAGAAGAAGAAAAAATGTTGCAAGCAAAACGTAAACAAGTGGCACAAGTGTGTGACGTCATGCAGACAGCGATTCTGTCAAATTCGTTAAGAGAGAAATGGCGGTCCGAGATCAGGCGCAACCTTTGTATTCTCTCAATCGTGATTTTTCACTATATTCGTTTCCACTGTTTACCTTATTTCAAATAATTAAGTGCTTTTTAAATATAAACAGTATGTATGTATATATTGGTTAATGGTTGGCTTGGCTTGACATTCCAGGTGTTGCAGTATGGGACAAATCCACACTTTATCGCACATTGTTGTATTCAAGTTCTTCTTTATTATTAAATGTTATTGATAAATTAAGCATGCATTTTAGACTATGTATTTTATTATAAGTATGTATTTAAAATAATTTTTGTTTTCCCTTACCACCATTTCCCCATCTTTTTCATATTAGAGTATTTCTTACATTCCACTATCCAGTTCCCTCCCTCCGCCTATCTCTCTACTAAACCATTTTGTAAATGCTTTATACATATGTCCTATGTACATACATGCATATTTCAGCAAATTATTAAATACTAATACATATGTTCTAGTAGATCTTGCTGCATCCTCCTCTTACTCCTTAGCTGCTTTATACCTTTAGTCACACGCAGTGCCTCACTCGATAGTCCGTTCGTTTGCCGTAACGTTTAACAGCCCCCTCACCACCTTCCTTCCTTATCCTTCGTCAGTATTTCGCTGGCGTTTTTCGTTTTCGTTTTCGTTTTATATACGCCTTTAACCCTCTTTGTCTCCGACCATTGCAGGCTACAGCACCGCTGCTAAAGACTCCGCTGTCTCAAGCACAGCAGGCGTACGCAACGGCTGCCACCACATATACGGCTGTGGCGGCTAGGGCTGCTTATGGCGCTGCTGCCGCCGCTGCACAGCCAGCACTGGCCGGTTACGCCACCGTCGCGGGGTAAGTTTCGCTTGAAAGTGTGCAGACTCAAATTATTACGCGCAACATAGCCACTAATCCTCCACTAATACCATCTTCCCTAACTTACGATTTATTCCCTCCAACATTGTATATGTGCGTGTATGTGCATATCGAGACCTTACCGTAGTTTAGATGTAACCAACAATAATGCAATTTTATAGAAAAAAAAAAAACTTTTACAATTATTTACACAGGCCAACAAAATTTAGCCACTGCCTTTCCTGATTTTTAATCTATTAATACAGTTTTTCTATGTCTTTTGGCTTCAGAGAAAAAGCTTCCAGTGTTAGTAAAAAAGTGTGAATGTATCGAAACTTGAAAGCAAGTTCTTGGTCGGGTTACGTCGAATTTATTAAAGCACATAACGCTCACATCGCATCCAAAAGGAAAAATCTTTTTAGCAAGGCCCTGTCTGAAAGCGTTTATTTAGAAGCGCTGCTTAATTTGCCAACTGGTTTCCTATTTCTACCACATTCAATTTTGTTTTTAAATTTTCCATCGTATTTTTACATATATTTAGTGTAAGACCAAAAAATCTACACAACGTACGCCCTCTTCAAAAGAGCCACAGCTAAAAAATCAGATACGGAAATATACTTAACAGCTTGAACATATTCAACGCAAATAATACAAAAATAGGTTCATTTATGAAAAACATCTACCTATTTTTTTTTAGTTGTTTTGAAAAATGTGAGCGGTATGTATGTATGTGTATCAATTATTCCATAAAATACGCTTAGCTCGGCTAAAATACAAATAAAAATTGTTTTCGAGATAGGTACTTGGGCATATTTTTTATAGCACTCTTTTCTAGACTTGAATGTGAATCGAAAGCCTCAAGCGCATTATTTATTTCGAACGGGTTACCACCGTGAGCCTAATTATCGTTGCCAATTTACTTAAAATTAAAATCGTCGATTCCCAAAACTAAGCTGTTTTTGTTTAATCTATTCGAAATGTTGTTAAAAAAAGACATTTGCCGAAATTTGTCTGTAGAACTTGGTTGATTGGCGAAATTTCATAACGAGACAGCCACATTATGAGGCCTTTAAGAAAAGGAGATATCTCGCTTGCGATCCAGTTAATTTGGACAACAGGCCGTAACTAGGAATAACGGAGTTTCATAATGATTTGGTCTGAAGGAAGCCTTGTAGAATTAGGGTTGTCACTAGAACCAAAGCTTTAGACCTTAATATCAATTTAGTTAGTCAATTTTTGTTATTATTTTTTCCTCTAATTTTACCCACTGATTTAATTTTTTTCTTTTTGTAGCAAGGTAAAGAGAAGAAAAATCGAAGATCTAATTAGTTTCGAATTGACCTTAATTAACGCGTGCAAAACTCTAACAAAACTTAACAATTTTTGCTAACAACTACAAAGAACCGCTGATGAGACTTCAAGCCCCTCCCGCTCATATAATCCTCAATCAACTAACCATTAATAATAATTAACATTGAACTAATAAATATCTCATGTAAATAACCTTTTGTGCATTCTGTTTTACAAAATTCCTGCTGCTGCTCTGAATTCCTGAAAACGCAGATACGCTGCAAGAGAGTATGCAGATCCCTATTTAGGACATGGCATCGGACCGGTACCCGGCTATGGGGTGAGTTTTTTTGACATGTAAAAAGCCTAAATATAGAGCAATTAATTAATTAATATTATTTTTGTTGAAAACAACAGGCAACCATGTATCGAGGTGGATTCAATCGTTTCACGCCATATTAATTTAAGAAGATACCTGGACGACTAGGTATGGAGAGCAGCAAGTTCATGCTGTAAACGAGGGAGCATTCTCCTAGCAGCTGCGCTCACCACTTGCGCTCACCACCCACACTCAATGATTTACACATCACATGAAACCAAATGAATATGTATTGCATAAGGACATAAATTTAGTGTTAAGTTAAGAGAAACATGGAAAACCTTGAAATGCTCAAGAAACAATGCAATTTTTAATGAAGCAACCAAAAAATACTCATGCCAACCAAGCGTTATTACGATGAGATTAAAATCAAATATTTATATGATAGCACAGCCAAGCAAAGATTATAAAGTATAAACTTAGTTGAAGATTATCTATAACATATACATACTCACATATATAAAGAGATATGTGCATATAATTGAAAAAGGCAGTAACAAAAAAAAACAGAAGACACAATTAACGGAAAAATGCGTAGTTGTTAAAATAAATGTCGTCCAACCAATATTTAAAATGATGATAAATACGTACATACATATACATACATACATACATA